AGAGAGTATAATTAGGTAGGCTGGCCGTGTGTGGTGCAGACTCAGTACAACACTTGTTAGGAGGTGCGAGTTAGTTCAAGTGGAAGGCTCAGAATGGGCAAGGGATAGGTCCAAAAGGACATGGTTGGAAGTAGTGAGAAAAGATATGGGGCCTTATGGCCTCACTGAGGGCCTGACCCTTAATAGAGCAGAATGGCAAACTAGGATAGTGTAGCCGACCTCAATTAGTTGGGAAAATGTTTTGATGACGATGATGATATATATGCTATGAGCTTCAAATTTAGGATATCATTTGTGTTATGTACACATTGATAAACGTACCATTTATATATTTTTGTACTGCATAATGCATATACATATCAGATTTGTGTTTGTATGCCTGCTAACTGGTTAATGGCTCGTGCATTTTATAAATATCCAATATATAGGAGAATGGTAAAAATGCCTTCAATAGTAAAAGCTCCCTCCAACATTATCTCTTTTAGCATGTCCAATGAAACTAGAGGTTTTTCTGTATATATGCCATGAATGTGTGTGTGCGTGCTCCTTCATAAATGGAAAGAGAAATAGATACAGTTAGATAACTGACCATTTTTAAACATTGATGTTGACCATCTAGGGTGCAGCACTGAGCTGTTTCTCCTAGCCGCACAATGCTTGCATTCTCTCCCACAATCCCATTTTGTCAATTTCGGCTGTTCTCGTTTCGTTTGCTGCTGCTACATTAATTGCTTTTTATTTCCCAATGAAAATTGAATATTTAGTCAAAAACATTAATTGCAAGTTCGATGGTGAAAACTTGGTAAAGCAGATGAAACATCACAGTAGCTAGAGGAAAAGAAAGCAAAAGTGATTAGCCATAGCAGCACCAAGTGAAATGAGAGTGGCCGAAACTGACAAAATGGTGTTATTGGAGAGAATGCAAGCGTTGTGCGGCTAGGGACACAGCTCAATGCTGCACCCTAGATGGTCAGTGTTGAAAAATGGTTTCCAGTTATCTAACTGTATCTATCTACTTCTCTTTCTATTTATGAAGGGGCATGTTTACATTCATGGCATACATACTGAAAAATAGTAGCATGTGTATTGATTAGAACAGAATAAATTACATTTCGAGTGGTAATATCTTTCGTTTATACAGAAAAATGGTTGAGTCCTCTTTACAAGGCAATGGAAATTCTTAGAAATAGCATGTGCAATAAACTGTAAGGCATACGACTCAACATCTCTTTGGCGCAACAAAATCATAGTTGTCCATTTCTTATGGAAGCGTTATCAGGAATTAGGGAGAGACCATCCTTATGAAGCTTCTTCCCAAGACACGGCCCCTGCTTTTTCAAGTCTTTAACATCCATGAAGCTTCTTCTACACTGCCCTGGTTTTCGAGTCTTTAACATCCATGGAGTCAAGCTAATCTATATCCTAGAGGTCTCTCCAGGGCATTCAGTTATGCAACTACATTATAAAGACGGAGGTCCTTGAGGTGTTTTAGGCCTTAAACACCCTCAGAACATCACCTCTAGCAAGTACTTGCAAAGTTCAGATATCCTTTCCTTGCAGAATAAGTAGATTAAGAAGCCACAAAGGTAATTGTAAAATTTCACATATTTATTTGGTGTCATTGCCTGAATGATTAATTGGCAGCCTCTTCCATCCTGAGATTGCTTCCTCATTCTGGTTTACTGTTGAAGGAAAACTCTTCAAACCTTAGGATTGATCTTCTTCGCACTCAAGACAATACACCGTCATGATCACTGGGGTAGGACTAGGTTGGGGTTCCATGCTCAGCAAGTATAGAGTTACAGAATCCTAAATGGCCGAGGTTCTTCTTAAGTAAATAAAAAAGTCTCCATCTGTCTCAATCTAAATCTACACAACAACATAGGAGCTAACTCGTCTTTCACCATGATGCATTCCATTGCGAGTTTTATTGTATAGGGTTCAGGTGCTGTTGGCATACTAGTGAACACACTCAGTGTTTTAAAATGCGGGATGTGGCCAAAAGCGGTGGGGGGGCCGATGTGGCGATGCGGCTTGGATGCAGGTGCATCGCGACAATGCAGTTAGTAAATGTAAAAAAACTTTTCAAAATCTAAAAACATAGGTTAATGCATAGAAAAAAATATGGAGGTAATATATGTGATAGTAGGTATTTTAGTTTAATGATTACCTTCAAAATTATTAGTTGTCGGAGATTATGTATCTAGTTATCCACTATCCCTCGATAAAAACTAGAAACTTGAAACTAGCTTCATGAAACAGTCAACAATCAACAACCATAAGCACAAATTTGCACCATAAGCGTAACGATCAACAACCATAAGCACAACCATAAACAACCATAAGCACAAAATAGTGATATGACAAACCAAAAGTCAAGCTCAAGAAGAGTTAATAGTTAATAACTTAAAACAATCATCCATTTTGAGAGTCAATTTTGAAATTTGAAGTCAATTTTTCAAATATCAATATCAGAAGTCATCTTGAGAGTCGTCATGTGCATCATCAATATCATCCTCGACGGCCTTCATGTATTCTTCTTCTTCGGTCTCCTCTGAGTCAGCTTCCTCTTCCTCGACCTCTGAAGCTAATATGCGAGTGCGACTAGACCCAGCAGCTCCTCTACTCCTTATGCTCTAGTGTTAGGTCGATCTTCTTCATTAGCCCCTGTTGCTAGCTCGACATCAAGCCATGTAAGATCCTCACCCTCAAACACACACTCTTATCTTGGATCCATGGTCCACTCACTTGTGGAATCACCATCAGCTTCATACAATTGAATAGGGTTGAGCTTCATGCGATTTTCATACCTCTCCTTAAGCCGTTCATTATGCGGCATATAAACTAAATCATTCAACTTTTTCTGCTCCAACCTATTTTTTTTTTTTGTATGGAACTATGGAAGAAAATTGAAATAAATTAGATTTTAGATTAGAAAATTGAAATTCAAGAAATAAGGATTAAGGAATAAGGAGTAAAGGACTTACATGTTGAAATGCACTCCAATTGTGTTCACAACCAGATGAGCTACATATGAGATTCAATATTCGAATAGCGAGACGTTGTAGATTTGGTGTCTCACTTTCATATAATGCCCACCATGCAGCTGTATAATTATAGATAAAAATTAAGGGTAAACAAATAAACAATGGAACTATACATAAAGTCAGAGAAAGTAAGGTTACTTTTGGCCTTTACCTGGATTTGTAGTGTCCCTATTTCGAGTAGCAATTCTCTCTTCTTTGTAAAAGACTTCATCATGCTTAGGACTATGGTGTGATTGTAAATCCAACAACAAACATAGCTCTTGAAATCACCCCACTAAATAAAGATGTTGTACCCATTTCTTTAAGCATAAGATTAACACAGTGAGCTGCTCAAGGAGTCCAAAACATAGGCGTCCTTTTCAAAGTCAATAAATGCCTAGCTGCAGCGTAATTGGCTCCATTGTCAGTGACAATTTGTACCACATTTTGCTCTCCAACAAACTTGACAATCTCATCCATAAAGCCACATCAGTATGTAGCATTATGTGACTTGTCTGATGCATCAACAGACTTAACCAAAAAAGTACTCGTTGGTCAGTTAACCAAAACATTAATGAATGCCCTTGACTTCCCATCGGACCAACCATCAAACATAATAGTGGCCCCATATTTCTTCCAGCCTTCTCTTTGAGAAATCAAAATTTTATTCACATCAAATATAACATCCTTCAACAAGGGCTCCCTAACCTCATGTAGTGAAGGAGGAACAAGTCCTGGGCCATATTGCCCAATTGCCTGGACCATACATGCAAAACTATCCAGAGTTATAGTATTAAAAGGAATGCCGGCCATGTAAATCCACTTTGCAATCCACTTACATACCGACTTCCTCTGTTCTTTCTTTTATTTATTTTCAATTGTGATTTGTTTTGTTTTTTTCGTTCTCTCCTGAACCACAATTCGGGGCTAAGGGTGAAAAGGGCATCCATTGGCCCCTTAGTGAGAGGGGTTCTTCTTTCAACACTACCACCAATATTTATAACCCTCTCTCTTGAGATTGGAGTACGAGCACCCCTTTGCCTCATAGCAACTTCAGACATATCATCATCATCATCATCATCAACATCATCATCAAATAATTACACATCATCAGTAATTCTTTTCTTTTCATTTTTTTTTTCTCTTTATTTTTTCTCAATCTATCCAAATGTTCTCTAATCTCCTTTTTTATATCATTTGTAACTTGTGGG